TCTTCCGACTTCCTTCGGAAGACCTTACTGTTTTTCTTATGTTTCCTATTATTATTATTTTTCCCTTTTCATAGTACACGAAATTTCTCGGAAACTGCTGAACCGATTTCAATGATTTTTTCAGGAATGATGCACTTTTGTAATATCTCCAGATCTTTTTTTCATTTTTCAAAAAATCACTTCCGGTCGCATTTTTTGTCCGATTTTCATTTTTAAAATCGTCATTTTGTCCACGCATCTTCTTGTAAACCACTCAAGACTGAATCACGAAGTTTTCAGGGATGGTAAAACATCTCTTTGAAATCTTTTAATTTTGCATCCGTCACTTCCCGTCGACACAGGAAGTGATGTTTAATTTCAAGATTTTTAAAAAAATTTAACCGTCTTGAATAAAGGCAAACAGAACTTATGTTTACATTCACAATCATCAACAAAAAGCATCGATCGGAAGTACTTCCGGTTTATACCGGAAGTTGACGAAAAATTTAACTTTCTCTCTTGAATCAAAAGAAATAGAAAAAATGGTTTAATTTGAGTTTTTTCAGGTCTTTCGGCTTTGATGTCAGCCGGAAATGAAGCCTGAATTGTCGAAAGTCGTCAAATAACGTCACTTCCGGTCAAACCGGAAGTAGTCGAAAAAAGCATATTTTGGCCGTTTTTGACATGTATTTGGGTAACATATGTCACTGGAAGCAAAATACTTAATTTACCGTCCGTGGATGTCACTTCATCAAACCGGAAGTAGCCAAAAAAAGTTTATTTTGAAGGTTTTGATGCAAAATTGAAATTATAAAGTCACTGGAGACTACAAAGCTCATTACTTTCTTGTGTTGACGTTACTTCCGGCACTTCCGGTCAAAATCGGACGGAAGACCTACTCGTTGCTTTGCAACGAGCTTTGCTCTAGTTATTATTATTATTCCTCCCAAATTTTGTGAGCGCGATTACTCAGAGACGGTTGGACAGATTTTCACAATTTTTCACAGGATAATAGTCTGATATTTATATAAAGACGTGAAATTTACAGGAGTATTAGGTCATGACATTCTCTTTGTTTTGATATAGATTTTGTGCGTTTCTGATACTTCCTGTCCGAACCGGAAGTGAATTGTGTTTCGGTCAATTTTCAACTTTTTTGTTTTTGAATATTTTTTCAAGATATTTCTAGGCGACGTAAAGAAAGGTCCACAATAGCCAAATATATAATTTGTTTTAAAATCGTATCACGCGTTTTGTATATTTCAGCTACTTTCGTTTTGCATTTATAAAATCAAAGTACTGAAAGTACTAAAGGGCCATTTCTTACTTTAAATTACATGAAGGTTACGTTTACATGTTTTTCTGCATACAAAAATCAAAACATACAGACTCATTTATATTAGTATTAAGATAACATAATTGCTATGAAAATCAAAGTACCTAAAGTACTTAGAGGACTGTTTTCGATACCAACCTTTTTCTCACTAAAGTGTACATGTACATGTATGTAGTATAAACAGGCATGTTTTTCTACACATAAACATCAATGCATACAATAAGCTACATGAACGTTTGAAAGCTATTTTCGTCAGTCAATGAAAATCAAAGTACCGCAAGGACTGAAAGGAAATTAACTATTTTAGTTAATACATGTAAATATTTCTTTGAATGCAAAATTTAATTCAAACACAGCACGTTTTATAATTTGTCATGTGTATATATCAAGTACGGTGGATACATTCATTTTTGTAGTGAAAATCAAAGTACTGTAAGTTCTGGAACGTTGTTTTCTAGATACCCCCCCCCCCATTAACTTTTTTAAATTTTATTGAAAATTGAAATATACCTCTTAATAAAAAAAGAATGCATACAAAATCATATATAAGGACACAGATATATTCATTTTTGCAGTAAAAATCAAAGGACTGCAAGTATCGAAAGAAGAAATCTAGTTTCTGTACAATTTATGACTTATTACATAGTGTACTTGTTTCTGTACATACAAAAATCAATGCAAACGGTATCATATAAGAACGGAAGACTTTTTGTTGCCATGGCAACAAGCGTCTAGTTATTATTATTATTATTCCTCCCAAATTTTGTGAGCGCGATTACTCAGAGATGGCTGGATAGATTTTCACAATTTTTCTCATGTAAGTAGGTTGCTATACGAAGTTTATATAAAATTCCGTTTTTTGAAAAATTCACTTCCGGTCCGAAGTTATGGCCGATTTCCGAATTCTAAAATGGACTTTTGTCCGGCAGTTTTCTCGGAAACGGTTTGAGGTAAAGATATGAAATTTACAGGAGTATTAGATCATGATATTCTATTTGTTTTGAAGTTGTTTTCGTGTGTTTCAAGTACTTCCTGTCCGAATCGGAAGTGAATTTGTTTTTAGTCAATTTTTGATTTTTTTGTTATTTGATATTTTTTCAAGATATTCTTATGTAAAACAGACATTTGTCTACAAATACTAAATATATAATTTGTTTTTTAATCAGATTCCGTATTTTGTATATTTTCGGTACCGAAATTTTCTCTATATACTTAGTACGTATTAGGTGGGCAAAGAAAGATAACTCTGACCTGTGAATGAGAATATAACTTTCGAGATAAAGGCGGAAATAGTATTGATGACGTTAGAGACATATATACGCTCTCCAGATCAACATATTTACACATTCAATATTCTCTCTATTGCATATTACTTCATTCACTATATGCATATTAGTTTAAATTTGGCTGTGTAGTATTAGTCTGTATATTGAAAGTTTTTGATTTACAAATTTATATCTTAAAAAAAAATATCCGTTCTGTGTCAACTAAGCACTCTGAAGAAAATAATATTGTACGCAATATACATTACAGCGATTTATATACAAATTATTCTACAAAAATACTAAACATATTATTTATTCAATCGGATTCTGCATTTTGGAGATTTAAGGTTCCGTCAATAAATTCATTTTCTCAATTTACGTAGTGACAATGAGCAAAGATAGATAACTCTGACTTGTAAGTGGGAATAGAACTTTCGAGATAAAGGCAGAGTTGTATCCAAAACGTCGCAGACGTCTATATCCACACTTTTCACATAAAAAAATATTTAGACTTTGAGTTTCCATATCCACTTCTGCATGAAAGATTACGTTGGTTAGTGCTTTCAGTATATGCATAGTTTAAAGTTGTCAGCGTAGTGTAAATCTGTAATGTCTGTTATGATTATATTTTTAAAAAAATATTCTTAATTCATTCTCTAATTTGAATGCGAAATTATCCCGGAATCCGAGTTTTATTTTCGATTCTAAAATATTATATGTACTCAAAAGGGAACTGAGAGATAGAAGAGTAATGTAATACCGTTGTAAAGCCTTTAGAAATAAATTGATATCTGCAACTTAAAAGAAAGAAAATCAATCTATAGATTGGATTTGGTTTTAACACGTATATTTCATTGATTAAAAGTCTTATAGTGTTATTTATTATACATGATCTATACTTTTATATACCCAAGAAGTTATTAAAGATGAGAAAAAGCGATTCTTGGATTTTTGTGAAATACTAGTACTCAAAGGGTTAACATTATGTGAAAGTTACTTATTTCTGTGTGAAATAATGCTACGCTAAAAACATGATACAAAAAAACATCTGCAAAGGTCTGTTGATATGTTAGATAAAGTATACGAATGAACACAATTTTATGCAATGCTATATAATTATATGTATGTATATGCAACCTTAAGTATTTTCCTTTTAATTCATAAAACATAAAATTACCGAGTATGTAATTCTTTTGAAGCCCCCCCCCCCCACTCGTGATTTTATTCGGAGACATTATTGCAACTATAGGCCTTTGAATTATAAATTCGTTATACAATTAAATCTGGAACATTTGGTTATAAATATCATTAACATGTATACTGAATTCATATTCTATAATAGTAGATTTTTCATTACGCAAGATATTGAAATTTACATGTCTGAGAGAGAGAGAGATTCCCTTTTAATCCTGATTACTAGTATCCTATCCATTTACATAGACAAAAAATCAGTTCTATATCAGTTGTACCCATTCTTTATCAAATATTTTCTAATTTCATAGCCCGTCATAGTCACTCTCTGTATATTTTTTCTGCTTAAGAAGTATTACACTAAATGCACATGTATTGACCTGTCAATCAAAATCACCGGACGCTGTATGCATTGCAATAAAGTTGTTCGAAATGATTTTTATTAAGTACGATCTTTAAGAAAATCTGATGCAACAAATTTGAGAAATGAAAAATAAAATAAAAACATGGCTAGATATATCTGTATTATGGACTTCAGTTGTGGGACGTGGAGACCGGTCCGTCAGATGAGATCGTTTAAATCGAGGTCCCGTGTGTCAGATGGTACTGACTCAAAAAGATTCCTCACTGCTCAATGGCGATTAGAGCCAAATTATAGGACAACATTTTGCAGTCTCCACCGGCGAGTGGAGATCTCCATGTGAAAAATTCTCGAGACGGACATTAAACAACATAATATAATCAATTAATCGATTGCTGAATAATTCCTGTAGTTGAATCATCTTTCTGCTGACAAATCTCGATAGTATTATGTTATATATTTGACCACGCCATGTGCGTTTCAACAACGATTTTATTCAACTACGTCATACAAACACATTACAAGACATAGACAATACACATGTAACAAAACGTATCAGTGAGGCTGAACTGAACTGAACTGAACGGGTAAAATCAGAGTTGGGTAAAAGTAGAATACATTACATCCCTCTCCTTAAGATAAATGTAAAATTTACAATAAGAATGAACTTTACAAAAAAATCATTTCAAATTTCTTAATTTTGATATTTAACCAGTTCGAAATACAAATTACAAATATCTTGAAGAATTGAAGTTTTCCTTATGAATCCTGGCTCCTGAGAATCTTGAGAATTACTGAATCACACATACACATAGCACTAAACACAAATTAAACACTTTTCACAAATACACTAAATTTCACAACACAATTATTTGGTGAAGTCGTCAAATTTCTTTGGTGGAATCACGACACGTCCTGACCTGGTTACGATGGTGGATGACCGTGTGATGGTTTCAGGGAGTTTCGGCAGGTCTGAGGATTGCGGTGAACTTGCGACCTCTTGTAGATTTTCTCCAGGTGTTTCTTTGGTTTTTGTTGGGTTGGCTGAATCGGAGATTTCTGTTTCTGCGGATTGATGATGTTTGAATTGTGCTGCAGTTGGTCTGATGTGTTTGCGGTTTCTTCTGTATTTGGTTCCATCATTGGTCTTGACTATGTAGGATCTGTTGCTCTGTTCACTCATCACGTTTCCAGGTATCCAATCTTTTCCATGTTTGATGACTATTTTTTCACCTGAGTGAAGTGGTCGAAGTTCTCTGCCTGCATGTCTGTCAAAATATAACTTCTGTCTGGTCTTTCTGGTTTCCATTCGCATCTTCAGATCATTTGACGATGTTGCTGCTGATAAGAGCGGAGAAGCAGTAGGAAGATCTGTTTTTAGTCTTCTGCCTAAGAACATCTGTGCAGGTGACAAACCGATTTCTTCGATGTTGGTATTACGATAGTCAAGCAAAGATTTGTATGGGTCTTTGGCTTTACGCAACAAGTTCTTGACTGTTCTAACTGTTCTTTCTGCTTGTCCATTGGCTTGCGGCAAATGGAGTGATGAAGTCACATGAACAAAACTGTACTCCTTGCTAAAGTCTCTGAATTCCTTGCTGCTGAACTGTGGTCCGTTATCCGTAAGAACTTTATCAGGTAGTCCGTTTCTGGAAAATTGGGACTTCAGACACTGTATGGTAGCATAACTGCTAAGTCCAGGTAACTTTACGACTTCTGGCCATTTTGAGTAATGATCAACTGATACCAGGTATTGTTGGTTCTCATACTCAAAGATGTCTGCTGAAATGTTGGCCCATGGTCTATCAGGTACTTCTAGTGGAATAAGTGGTTCCTTCGGGTTTGATGTAGAGTGCTGTGCACATACTTCACACTGTGATACAATTTTCTCAATGTCTTTAGACATTCCTGGCCAATACATCACATCTTTGGATCTGCTCTTACACTTTACAATTCCCAAGTGGGAGCTATGAATCAGGTTCAGCATTTCTGTTCTCATTGATTGCGGGATGATCAACTTGTGACTTTTGAATAAAAGTCCATCAACACATGAGATTTCGTCTCGAATATTCCAGTACATCCTGATCTCATCTGGAACTTCAGCTTTCGAGTCTGGCCATCCCTCTAATACTGTGTCAAGTAGTGATTGCAATTCTGCATCATTTGCTGTAGCTTTCTTGAACTCTTCATATTTAATTGGAGAAACTGGTAAGTATGATATCAAGTGAATATCATTCACTGAAATGTCTGGAACAAGGTTTTCCTTCGTCTCACTGAGATATGATCTGCTGAGAGTGTCTGCTAAATTCATAGTCTTTCCAGGCTTGTAAATCACTTCTAAGTCATACTTCTGCAAACATAATAAGAGTCTTTGTAATCTCGGTGGAGCGGAATGAAGAGGCTCTGTAAAGGTTTGTGATCACTTTCCACAACCACATGACGTCCAAAGATATATTGGTGAAATTTGGTACAGCCAAAAGTGATTGCCAAAGTTTCCTTTTCTATTTGGGCATAATTCTGTTGACTGTCTGTCAATGCTCTAGATCCATAAGCAATAGGCTGATTCTCTTGAAGAATACAAGCCCCAAGTCCCTTTGAACTTGCGTCCACGGTAAGTACCAAGTCTTTCTTTGGGTTGTAGTATCTAAGTACTGGCGCTTCTGTCACTAACTGCTTTAGTTTCTCAAAGCTCTTCATCTGTTCTTCTTCCCAGTGCCATGCAATGTCTTTGCTGAGTAACTGTCTCAATGGTGCACTGAATTCAGATAAATTTGGAATAAATTTTCCCAAATATTGCACAAATCCAAGAAATGTCATTTGCTCCTTCACATTTCCTGGCGGTTTCATCTCTTGTACTGCTCTGATCTTTTCTGGATCTGGTCTGACTCCGGATTTTGAAAGTTCATGTCCTACGTATGTGACTTTGTCTTTGCGAAATTCGCATTTATCTGGATTGAGTTTCAAGTTGAATTTCTTCACACGATCCAGAACAAGTTTTAGACGTTCATCATGTTCCTGCTGATCTCTGCCCCAGATAAGGATGTCGTCTATAATAGCTTCGCATCCTTCGATGTCTTTAACCATATCCGAGATAGCTCTCTGGTAGACTTCCGAAGCAGATTTGATGCCAAAGGGCATTCTAGTGAAACTGTACCTTCCGTATGGTGTGTTGAAGGTGCATAGCTTGGTGCTCTGCTCATCAAGCTTGAGCTGCCAGAATCCAGATGTTGCATCGAGTTTTGTAAACATGCTAGCATCTCTGATCTGTGTGATGACTTCATCTACTGTCTTCAGCGGAAAATGCTCACGGAGAATGGCTCTATTAAGGTCTCGAGGATCTATGCATATGCGAACTTTTCCATTGGATTTGATTGGGGTGACCATTGAATTCACCCATGGAGTAGGCTGATCCTGTCTCACAATAACACCATTTGCTTCCATCTTGTCCAGTTCTGCTTTCACTTTATCTTAAGAAGAGATATTGGTATCTGACGAGGTGCATGAATGACGGGATTGAAATTTGGGTCCACTTTTATAGTGTACTCTCCCGGCATGCATCCTAATCCTTCAAAAACTTCACTGTACTTTTCTTGTATGTCACTTGGTATGCCAGTGTTCTCAAGCTGATAAATTCTAGACACAAGTCCAAGACTTTCACAGGAATTCACTCCAAGAATTGGTTTGACATGCATTTTCACCACATGAAAATTTAGATCAACTGTTTTGTCTCTGTGTTTGACTGGTAGAGTCACAAATCGTGTTGGTTTTATGGTGTGACCTGAATATGATCTCAGTGGTACTTCAGATGGTTTGATAGTGTCTGTGCAGTGCATCTTCTCGATTTCATGAAAAGGCAACACATTGCACATTGCTCCAGTGTCCAGTTGGAAAGTAATCTGTTTCCCATGAATTTCCAATTCTGTAGTCCATCTGTTAGAGTATTTATCTATCATGTCGACATCAAGGCTACCCATGAATAGAAATTCACCTCCTGTCTGTGTGTCACTTGAATCTGAGTAGTCTTCTTCCTCGACTAGGCGAACAGACTTTGACTTGTGCTTATTCGTTTTAGTTCGACAAACTTGTGCAAAATGGTCTCTTTTGTGGCATTTCTTACATATTTGTCCTATCGCTTGACATGGTTTCCCATCATGTTTGTATCCACATCTGGTACACGATTTGTCATGTTTACTGTCGTTGAATCTGTGTTTGGGTTGTTGACCTCTATCAGATTTTGTGAAACTTTTACTGTGTAGAGATGATTTTCCCTTGTGAACATAGTTGACTAAAGGGTCTTCTCCTGCCATAGATTTGGCTTGGGCCTGTGATAGTTCATGAGCTATTTCCATAGCCTTCTCTAGCTGCAGATCTGATCCGACTTGAATTAGTTTTTCTCTAATCTTGGGATTTCTAACGCCTATCACAATTCTGTCTCTTACCATTTCATCTGGTTTGTCATAATTACAGTCTTTCACTAATATTTTCAACTGAGTTGCAAACTGTTCAAATGTCTCACCCGTTTCTTGAACTTTACTGTGAAATTTGTAACGGCTGAAAATTACGTTTGATCTGGGTTTCACATATTCCTCGAACTTCTCTACGTATTTTCTAAGTTTCTTCTGTTCCTCCTCTGACAGTTTCCAAGTTGAAAATATCGTTCTTCCTTTCTCCCCTACCCAAAGCATAAGGTACGAACACTTTTCCGGTTCCGACTTTTCTTTGAGGGGTCCTGAGAACATGAAATCTGCATGCTGTTTGAATGTTTTCCAGGCGGATTCTAGATCCTGTGCCTCCCAGTCCATCCTAGGAACTGCTCCGCTTAACATATCCATCATTCAATGGTTGTTAGGGCTTTTTATCGGCTCTTAAAATTCTGACACCATGTTATATATTTGACCACGCCATGTGCGTTTCAACAACGATTTTATTCAACTACGTCATGAAAACACATCACAAGACATAGACAATACACATGTAACAAAACGTATCAGTGAGGCTGAACTGAACTGAACTGAACGGGTAAAATCAGAGTTGGGTAAAAGTAGAATCTGTAAAAATCAACGACTTTACGTTTAATGTGGTACTAACTTAGTTCGTGACATTTTTATAACACCATCACAATTGTGCCAGAACATAAACACAGTGAAGTTTATGAGAGTACGGTATTCGTTCGTCCGTTGGTTTGTCTATGATACACGTTTAGCTCTTATGAGTGCCAAAATGCAAGAACAAGATTGGTTATGAAAATCAATGTACGTTAAGTACTGAAAGACCTTTTTGCAGTTTTTTTTTCTTTCAGAGTACATATGATATCTATGTTTTTTGCAGAGAAAAAAGGAAATTCTTACAGATTTAGAAGAACGGAAGACTTATTTGTTGCCATGGCAACAAGATTCTAGTTATTATTATGTTCCCCAAACGAAGTTGGCGAACATTTTGTTTTTACTCTGTTTCTTATTAAGGTCTTCCGTCTTCACGGAAGACCTTATAGTGATTCTATTGTTTCTTATTATTATTATTAAGGTCTTCCTACTTCCTTCGGAAGACCTTATTGTTTTCCGTCGGTTTCCTATTATTAAGGTCTTCCGTCTTCACGGAAGACCTTATAGCGATTCTATTGTTTCTTATTATTATTATTATTATTATTATTCTTTTTTTTTAGACAAAATTTTGTGCAGGCGATTTCTCGTGAACTATTTGGTGGATTTCAATGAAAATTTCAGGAATTATAGGTCATTATATGAATTTTATATAAAATTCCGTTTGTTGGAAAATTCCGTACCAGTGCCAAGTTATGGGCAATTTCCTGATTTTAAAATGCAATTTTGTCTTCGAGTGTTCTCGAAAACGGCTAAAGATATTAACTGGAGACTTGTTAGAGATGATAGACCATGAGTTATAGATGTGCAATTTTGACTTCGTTTGCGTCGTAAGTACTTCCGGTCGCTACAGGAAGTGAATTCAAAATGTACACTTTTTCAACTTTTTTTGTTTTTCAATATTTTTCTTTGATATAATTAATGGTAATAAAGACCCTACTGGAAAGGCCAAATATATAATTTATCTATGAATTGATCAATCCACACACTAGATATTCGCATTTGAAAATCTGAAGCGTGTCCAAGATGGCGGCGGTCTCGGTAAACTCCGCCATTAAGCAAGTCGGGTTCTAGAAGGTCAGCTGAGCGTTTAGATGAAGGAAGCTTCTACCAAAAAGATTTATGAAATGTAAAGAATTCTTTTGATTGCTACATCGCAATTACGTTGCATTGAGTATACTTTTAACATGAGGTTTCCTCAAACTTCTATTGAAATCGCTTTTGTCTGCATCTCAAAGTTAGAATACAACTTGACTACAAGTGGAAATACGATGACTTCAGTCTTTTATTTTGCACCAGGGAAAACTTATCCTAAATCATGGTTATAATACTTTTCAAGAAACTTGCCTGACTTAATATTAACTATGTTTCTGAAGTATGACTTGACTTCTGTTTATTTTTCTTTACGCAGGCTTGTGATATATTAAATGAATAGAAAAGACAAAAATAAGAAAAACATTTTTAAAAGATTGTTTATTAAAGGTTATATGAATATTCTTGTAATAAATGCAAGTTATTGACATAAATAGTATCAGATTCCTTGACCGTCGGAGGACGAGTGATTTTTTTTCAGCGAAACATTCCAGTCTTTTCATGAACGTGTAACTCATCTCCACTTTGGGGGTAAACAGGATACAAAATTCGTGGAAAATCTTACCGAATTCACAGCTTTATTGTTACTTGGCCGTATACGAAATTATATTTGTATAATGTGATAAATATTCTCGTACTTTCTAACGCTCGAAATTCTGGTTATAAGAACATACATTTCTAATTTCCATTGAAGCTATCACATCTATTAAATAAATCAAACATTTCAAAGGAATAGCGTTAAGAACTACTTGTGACGTTTGGCACGAAATAATGCATCATGACCCGACTTAGTAGTAGACAAATGGCGACAATAGTGCAGAAATATATAACATTGGCATGTCTGTATATGGAGTTGCATGGGATAAAAAGTTGAATACATATCGAAAAAAGGAAAGAAAACTGTATCATCTGTTCATCATTAATAGATTATCTATCCTAAAAATTACTGTTAAAACTCAAGCAACAAATTCCGATGTGATCATCTTGATCAAAGTTTGGCAAGCTAGCTCTCGTGTTATAATTCCAAACTGAATTTTAAAAAAATGTAATGTATGTTGGAATAAGAAAACAATCTCGCGTTATTCGAATGTTAATTTTAAGCGGGTTCCCAAACGTGTAA